GAGAGAGAGAGAGAGAGAGAGAGAGAGAGAGACACTACGCTGACGCCTCGCGCGGCTAGAAGCCACGCTACAAGCGGCGCCGCGTCGGGCTAAGGAGAGGGGTGTGTGTGGTGAGCCACACACCCCACCATAGGGGATCAAGGGGGGGCACTTTCACGTGACCCCGCGCCCTTGACGCGGCCTGGACGGTGGGCAGTTGCTGGCGTGCAGCAGCTGCTTTCGGCGGCCCCATACGGCTGTCATGCTCTCCATAACGCAATCCATAAACTTACAAGATGCTGGTCCACACGGTCCCAACGAATCAGAGCCTGGCCATGTCTTCTTGCTGCACAACCACACAAGTGACCATACACAGCACTGCAAAACGTTGTCCAAATACAGAGGGGTGGAAGCATTTGCGTGGGCGTTGTTCACCGACCCAATGTCCCCGCAGGACCGCTACGCCGTGCCGACGGTGCGCCCGGCCTCTGCATTGCCAGAGTACGCGGCCACCACGTCCTGCTGCGCCTGGCCAAACTTGCCCCAGTAGTCCGTCATGGTGTTGTCGTACTTGTCCGTCTGCGGCATGATGGAGTTTGGGAGAAGCAGTGGGTCGACGTGTGTGCAACGTGCATGTGTATGCGCGTGCGTGTGTATACGCGCGTGTGTGTGTGTGTGTGTGTGTGTGTGTGCACGTGTGTATGTGTGTAGCGGTGGAGTTGGCTCGTGCAAAAAAGCATACACACGCGCAGTCACAAGGCAGGTGCTGGTCTACAGGGCTTGTTAAAGGGCTTGCCATTGTGATATGCGGCCAAACGCCACTCACAAAGTCGAAGAACAGAGACTTTCCCTTGGCAAACAGGGAGACGAGGCTGTAGCTATTGAGCTTCCGCACCTGGCAGCAGGGTGAGGAGGGTGGGCCGCGGGTTGAGGTCAGTGTCTGCCGCATGTGCACGTGGCAGCCTAGCTGAGCTATTCAAGTCCAGGGCATGCAGGCAAGTAGCTGAGCAATCACACCTCTTGTCAATTTCTTAGAGGTGAGGAAGTTTAACAGTGGCGTACTCTGGGTCACATATACCAAGCTCTGCTCACCTGAGCGGCGGTTGAGAATGCAGCCCCTCCAACGTCAAGCCCTTCATACGCAAAATTGACCGACACAGCGCAACTGTGTGCAGAGGTTGGCAGTGCAGAGGCCTGGGGTTGCTGCTTGACCAAGGAAGCACATGCCTGCCGAGGCACCTTACAAAACAGGATCAGTGGCAGCAGCGCACGCAGACGGCGCTGTGCCGCCTTTCGTGCATTCCATCCCCACAGGCGGAAGCCACCATGCCCGGTGACACCCTCCCCCCCCAGAGCGCCAGAAAGAGGCTCACTAAGAGAAGGATGTATAGTTGCATGTCCCTGCGTCTGTGGTAGTGTTTTGCAGTAGCCGCCGCGAGGACGCCCCAGCCGTGGAGCCGCCGCTGGCCGTCCCATCTGCTGCCGGCGAGGTCGAGGGCGACGGCGAGGGTGACGGCGAGGCTGGCACAGAGGCCGGCGTAGCGTCGGCGCACGTGCAGTTTGAGACTGGCAGTGTGCAGGATGTGCCGTTGATGCAGCGGTTGCTCTTCCAGCCGCCGCAGTCATTGCATGTGAGGTTGTAAAACTGCAGGTACTTGAGCACGCCAAGCTCTGTGTGTGTGTGTGCGTGCATGCATGCGTGCGTGTGTGTGTGTGTGTGTGTGTGTGTGTGTGTGTGTGTGTGTGTGTGTGTGTGTGTGTGTGTGTGTGCACGTGCAATGCGTTTGGTTGCAGGAACAGACCCATGTGTGTGTGCATTGTGGTGTTGCAACGCTGAACTCTGCCAGCTGATTGCAAGGGGAGGGGTGCGTCGCGAAGCACGGCAAGCGCCTGCTCCTTAATCACTCGAGGGTCTTGCTCCCAGTGCTGCCTGGCGGCCGCAGAATGCAAAGACGTGCGATGCCAGACAGCTCACCAAACTTTGACATGAGCGACAGCGTCGATACGAAGCCCATGCCGCGTGTGAGTGCGGGAGCGCCGCTGACTACGTAACGCGCCTCAGATCGCACGAGGCCCCTGCATGCGGCGTGGTGCAGCCCACCGGCAGTGGGCGGCGGGCGTCAAACCGACGCCTGCGCCGAAACACCCGGATGTCGCATGCGTAATCGACACACCTGCCCCCACATGCATGGGGCGCATGCAGCCCCATGCGCCCTGCGAGTGTCACCATGCGGCCACATGCTGCTGCTGCAATCACGGACGGCCAAGCTGCCCAAACCTGAATGCGACGACAGAGATGACCAGCGGCGTGTCCGGCAAGGCGTCTGCCGTGAGCGACAGCTCCTCTGGAAACGTAGTCTTGAAGACGCTCAGGCGGTCTATGCGCGCACTGTACGCAGAGAAATGCACGCCCATTGCAGTCTGCGGGGTGCGGGCGGAGGGGTCCTTGGCCGCCTGCCTGGCGCATGCATGTGCCATCAGCCTGCAGTGGCAGTGGCGCGCACTGCTGCGGCAAAAGTGGGAACCCGCTCACCAGATTGGCGCGGTGCGTCTCGTTGCATGGCTGCAGACCTGTGTCGGGATCTCCCCAGTCCGCTGACGTGCCACCCGGCCAGAAGGCCAGGCCCACCACGAACCCAGCGCCCGAGCCCTGCAGGGGTCCGCATCCTGTTCGATCTCTTCTATGTCACGAAACATACCTACACGTACCTATAGGCCCGGAAAATTATTCACCCGTTTGATTGCTTCTGGAGTCGTGCAGGGGTCGAAGGCGATGGCCCTGACCGCAGAGAGCTGCGCTAGGCCCAGCAGGAGCGCTGCCCACGGCACCAAATGAGCCATATCTGTGTGTCCTGCGAAATCCACCACGGTGGTGGTGCTAGTTTGCAGTTCGCACGGGAGGTGCTGCTGCCAGATCGCGCAGCCGTCCGTTCAAACTCAGTCAACTTGTGCTGTGGAGTGTTACAACATGATAGCGCATACGGTGGGCCAGCACGACGTGGATAGATACAGGATATGGACGAGACATGGGGTGAGCTGAAGGTGCTTGCTGCGTCACCGTTCGTCCCCCTCCGACCACCCAGCGCCATTGCCTGGCGCTGATCCGACTGCCCACCCTCTCTCCGTGCCACCCGCTCCTGTGCCCGCCGGCCGGTGCTGAGGGCCAGTGCCAGCCTCACCACCGCCGTAAGCCGGCCACACCTCCGAAAAACCATTGCTGGTGCCTGCTCCGCCGCCGGCCGCCCAGGTGCCATTCCTTCTGCTGCTGCTGTTGCTGCTGTTGCTGCCGACAGCGGTTGTGCTGCTGCTGCTGCTGCTGTTGCTGTTGCTGTTGTCGCTAGGGGTGGCTTCTTGGCTGCCGAATGGGACTGCATACCCTTCGCTGTTTATATAGTATTCCTGTGACACACCACCCTGGCCAGCTGCCGCTGCCGACCAGCCAGCGCTGCTGTATCCTCCTGCGACGGCGTTGGTGTCCCACCCGACGCCAACGGACGGCACGTCTGATCCTGCGAGCGCTCCGCCTTGACTGCTGCCGCTCGCGCCGCCCGCCGCCGTGCCCGCCGCCCCTGCGGGGGCGGCACCGTCGCTCCCGCCCTCGCCCCCGCCCTCTGGCGCAAGCCGGTACCCTTCCCATTGCGCCTCGACGCCGCCGTACGGCGAAGGGCCTGCCTGCTCCGCCGCTGCTTGCGGCTCGCCACCCTCGTATTCATCTGGAGTATATGGCCGGTAGCTGGCATACAGGACGTCCCCGCTGCCCTGCTGCGCCTGCTGCTCCCGCTCCACCCCTACCCCACCCGCCGGCCACCCCTCGCCGGCCGGCCACGCGGCCGCCTCAAACGGCGCGCCCCAGCCGCCAGGGGGCTGCTGCTGCTGCTGTCGCTGCTGCTGCTGCTGCCCGTCCTGCTGCAGCTGCCGTCCGCGCTCCACTGCCAGCGATATGTCCAAAAACACGTCCCGGTTCACGAATGGATAGTCCGCCAGCCACAGGCCGGACTGGGGGAAGTACACCTCTCGCACGACCTGGCGCGTCAGGCCGCAGGCATGGGGTGTGCGTTAAATACCAACCGCGCACAGGCATGCAGATGCCCAGTGTGCGCGCATGGTGCGGCTTGGTAGCAGAGCTGATACGTGAAGGACGCCCTTGCAGAAGCCGCGGCTCGCGTCGCTCAGCCGCGCTTGCAGCCTCCGCATGCTCGCACCCTTGATTGTCCACCTCAATACACATACACTTTGATAGCAGATCGGATCTGGTGTCTTCAACTCACCTTGAAATTGGTGAAGGCGCCGTCGCGGCAGAGCACCATCAATTCTGCGCTCTCGCCCGCCACAAGCTCCTCGCACCCCGCCACATACGGCAGCCGCAGCTGCGGGGGCAGGACGTAGCAGGGATGGGCCGCCGCGCGGATGTATTGGTTGGCTGCACGCCTGCCCAAAATTTGCGCATGCCCCAACTGCCTCGCGGTGTCAAACAGGGCCCTCAAACAGGGACGCACGGGCGTGCGAGCAGCGGGCAGGCAGGCCTATGCGAGGCTAAGTTGACCGGCATTTGACCACGCGCCACACCTGCGCGCGCGCGCCGCCGGGCCAGGGGTCACCGACGACGACAGTGACGCTGTCAGCAGGAGAGTACTGCGAGCCTGCCGCCGCTGCACGCACGTAGGCATATGGCATGACCTGTATATCAACGCTCAGGACCTGCCCAGGCGCAGGCAGGGTTTGAGGGCAGGCAGGGTTTGAAACACATGGAGCTGTTCGATGAGCGAATGAGCAGAACTACGGGGACAGACGGGTGCTGAACGCATCGATTTGGGGAAGCGGTTGGCCAGGCGGGGCTCGCGCAGGGTGGGTCAACACGTGTTGATGCTTCAACGTCCACACAGGGAAACCCCTGCAGAACGCACACGGCCGCCATCATTCAGCTTGCTGCGCAACGGTTGTGAGCCCGGGGCGACTCCAAAGAACGCCGGGCCGCCCCCCGTCACCCCACACCCTCTCGCCTGTGCGCGCCACAGCCCCAGGCTCTTGAATTGCCGCAAGTACAGCTCAGCGTTGCGCACGCCAGCGCGGACCCATGGGCCCCAAATCGGGTACAGCAGCGCCGGGCCGGCCAGCAGTGCGGACTTGGAGAGCGCCGCGGATACGCCGATGGATCCCAACACCTGTACCACGCGCCTGCGTTGGTGGAGGGTTCACCCACAAAGAGGGGCTCTCGCAAGAGGCTTAGAAAACTGTGCTCCTGAAAGCTGAAATATCTGGGGTTTCTTTCTGACCAGCACTCGGGTTCACACGCGCCATGCGACAATTTCGCGCAGCTGCAACAACATAGCCCTTCAGACGCACCGCCAGCCTTCCGGGCAGGCGGCGAGTGCCGCCTGATGCCCCGGCCGCTCACTCTGGCACGGATCTGGGTTGGTAGTGCCGCGCCTGGTCGGACGTGGGGATGACTGGCAGCACCAGCTCAGCGTCCCTCGGTGAGATCAGAGTGACGTCAGACGGCAGCAGCGGGCCCGCCCACGCCCCGGCCCCCGCCGCGCCCGGCGGCGCCCAGCCGGGGGCGGCGCCGGCCCCAGGCGGGGGTGGGTAGTACTCGCCGCCGCCGCCGCGGAAAGGGTCGGCGTCGAAGGGGGCATACCCCGCCGCCGGGGCGCCAGCGGCGTCCCCACCCCACGCGCCTTGCGCAGCACCAGGGGTGGATGCAGGCTGGGCGCCTGGCCGCTGGCCCCACTCCCAAACGGGCTCGCTCTCTCCCCAATCCGCCTGGGGCCACGACGCGCCGTCCTCTGCACCGCCGCTTTCGCCGCCAGGTTGGCGCCAGCCGCTGCCGGCAGCAATGGCAGGGTCCCCGTACTCCGAACCATTGCTGTCTGGCCAAGCGCGCTCCTGCGCTGCAACTCGGCCGCCGTCGATGGCGTCGGCGGGTGGCGGTGGCGCCGCCGGCGCGTCGACGTTCGCAGCGTCCGTGTAGTACCCGTACGATGAGCCCGGCTGCTGCGAGCCGATTGATTCACTCACATTGCCATAAGCGCGAGTCCTGATCACTCTTGGGGCGCGAAGCAGCGTCCGCGCCCGCGGACTATAGATAAGCAAAGTAATGGTCTTTCTACCGCATATCAACGCACTCTGCGGCGGCACACAGATCATGCTGAGCTCCACTTGCCGGGTGCCTGCACCGCGCAAAACTTATTCGAGCGGAGTGGAGCCTGCATACGCAACTTGTACGTTAAGTGAAATTGTGGTAATGCTGATAACACCTACATAGCATCCACACGGGTACCCGAACTATACAAAAATGATGGGTCACCGCCTGGCGCTGGGGCCTCGCACGGTGCCTGCAGCCAGCCTGATTGCCCGGGATCACTATCACGGTGCGTTCTGCGGCGTGCAGCGCTCAGTGGGCTTGGCCCGCATGGTGCTGCAGCGTGAGCGCGCTGCAAAGGCTAATGCGCCGCGACAACGCAAACGCACATGCATGCATGCCAGTTCAAGGTCGCTTCTTTTTATGATTTGCCCACTCAACATGGGACCCCCTGCAGGCGCCGTGCCTCTGTCGCGCCAGCCCTGTCGTCGAGCGGATGCACGCCCCGCCCCGGCGCGTGCGTCGGACCAGCCCCCTGGCAGCACAGGCGGCGGCGGCGATAGCGGGCCGCGGCGCTCCAACCTGCCTGCGCCCGTGACGCCTGGGTGAGCCCGCCAACGCCTCACTGGGCCCAGGCGGTGGTGTTGGCCGCAAAGTCAATGGGGTGGGACACGGCTGGTGGGCGTGAGCATCCTTACATGACCGAGATTCAGCCAAGGCGCAAAGGGGCAGCAGTCTTTGAGCAGCTATGTGCGCCTCTGTCAGCACACGCGGGGCAGTGCACGGCAGCTGGCAGCGACAGCCAGCATTCAAATGCCGCATCCCCCACTCACATGCTGCATTGCCCCCTCCCCACTTTGCAGCGGCTTCCTGTCGCTCGAGTCGCTGATCCAGCAGGCGTACGCGCTGCAGACCGCGCTTCCAGGTCAGCGCGGAGACTGGCAGGAGGTGAGTGCCTTGCACGCAGCAGTGCCGGGCAAGCTCCCAATGGACTCTGGAGGCTGCCGCTGCATTGCTGAATCCGCTGAAGAGGCTCAGCCGCCAGGCTTGCATGACCCGGGCCCCTCAGAGCCGCTGACATCCTTGCGTCCCCTCTTCTGATCGCCCAAACCCGGTCAAACCCGGCCAAACCGCCAGATTGAGGGCAGCTGGGTGCTGTACCCTCCGGAGGGGCGGCGGCCGGAGGCCGTGGTGCACTTCATCGGCGGCGCCTTTGTCGGCGCCGCCCCGCAGCTGACATACCGCTCCCTGCTTGAGGTGCGCCGCGCAGCTGCGATGGGGCTGTGATATGACCGGCGGACAGCGTCTCAACAGCAGCCGCCACCCAGCAAACTGCTGCCGCCTGTGCAGGCTCTCCTGGATCCTGACGAAGGGATTTGCAGTCACAAGGTTTCACGCTATCTATCCTTAGCTTCACGTTTCGGTCCCTGCTCTGTGACGGCACGCCAGGCGCTGGCGTCGCGGGGCGTGCTTGTGATCACGACGCCGTTCAGCACCGGGTTTGACCACCTGCGGGCGGCGGACGAGATCCAGTACAAGTTTGACCGCGTCGCGTCGGTGTTGGCGGTGGGCTAGGGTGGGGGTGGGGGGATGGCTGTGCTCTGTGCCGCGGATCGCGGGTTGTTCCGCAGGAGTGCGGTGACACGCCCCGCGCCATGGTTGTGCATCAAAGCGGCTGGGCGTTGGGTGAGCGAATTCAAGGGCTTCTTAGCCTGGTTGGGTACCCATATCCTGCATAATTGCACTCAATGGGGCTTCAATCCGCCTTCTGCTTCCCCCCAACCATCCTGTCAGGCCGATATTGGAGGCCTGCCTGTGTATGGCGTTGGCCACTCCCTGGGCTCCGTGCTGCACTCGCTCATCTGCTCGCGCTACGCCCCAGAGGTGTGTGCACAAGCCGTGACTGGCGGGGGCCGAGGACGAGGACCTCTGTGTTTGTATTTGACATCAACCCATCGATGTGTGCAACGCAC